ATTAGCTTAACCTTATAATTATTAATATTCTTATTGGGCCTAACTTTCACACCCTCACCTTTACTACATACGACCATATATTTAAGCCCAACAATAAATCTTATAACCATTCTAATGTTATTATTAATATTATTGCTAATATTAATCAACCAAATAACAACTTAGTAACTTAAATCAACATTTCTCGATATTTTGCAACTTCAACAATTTTAACAACATATTCAACTATGAATTCATAATTAATTTAATTAAGTAATTAATTAAATTACTTGGCGTTACAGATATATTCAAGAGTTTCTTGAAGGGTCCATATAATATGCCTAGTGTCATATTAACCGACCGAGATAACTCCCTTATAAATGCGATTGGAATCATGTTTCCTACTTCATATGCATTACTTTGTCGGTATCAATTTAGGGGTGGAAATAGGCTAGGCTAGGTTTTATAAGGCCTGAGTCTGGACTATGATAAACTTACAAGGTTTGAGTCTGGTCTATGGCCTACTATAGGCTCTTTTTTTGGCCTGACTTGGCCTTTTAAAAAGGCTGGCCTGGCCTGAAAGCCTATTTAAAAACCTGTTTCTCATTAAGATTTTCAATTAATCCATATTACTTAAGAAGTCTTATAAGTCGACTTATATATGCATATATATGCTGACCTATTTAGCATTTTTACTTATATATATATATATATATATATATATATATATATATATATATATATATATATATATATATATATATATATATATATATATATATATATATATATATATATATATATATATATATATATATATATATATATATATATATATATATATATATATATATATATATATATATATATATATATATATATATATATATATATATATATATATATATATATATATATATATATATATATATATATAGGTCAGCCTATTTAGCCTTTTTTTCTAAAATATATGCATATATAGGTCAGTCTATTTAGACTATTTTTAATTTATATGAAAATATAGACCGGCCTATAAGACTACATAGGCTTTTTTTTAATAGTCTAAGTTTGACCTATTTAATTAAATAGGCTTTTAGAAAAGCCTAAGCCTGGCTTTTTTATTAAATAAGTTTGGTTTGGCTTGGCCTCAAATAGGTTAGACCATAGACCCCTGTAGGTTGGCCCGATGTATTCTCATCCCTATGTATCATATAACAAAGAATGTGAGAGCTAGGCTAAAACCTGCGGTTGGAAACAAAGAAATCAAGGGTGAAGACGTAAACATTGTCAAATATAGTGTTGTGGTGGAGAAGAAACTGGGTGCATGGATGAATATATTAAATTCTTCTACAGAAAAGTTATATGCTGAGAATGTGGTACATTTTAGAAGCTTGTGTGTGTCAAATATCCAATGTTTTTGAAATACGTTGAATCTACTATTCTTGATTAGGTGAAAGAAAAAGATGTGTGTGTTTGGATGGACCGGGTTAGACATTTGAGAAACACAATAACTAATAGAGTTGAAGCTGCACATTCGACATTGAAGAAATGGTTGGGTGATAGCAAGGGAGATCTTTGTAGAGACTGATTCTCAACATATCTCGGGTGGAATTGAATTTCATTTTTCATGAAGAGAAACGAGCGGAGACGACGGGGCCGGATAGTTCGAAGTGTCAATGTACAATTAGGAAAACTTACGGGCTTCCATGTGCTTGTTTCAATTCTAAAAAGATGAAGCTAAATTCTCCCATATGTATGGACGAGGTCTACACTCATTGGAAAGACTCTAGTTTAATGACTACGGTGCGATAAAGGACGATATATCGAGTATAACCATCACAATCAAGTTGAAAGTGATCATGAATAGATTTTCTAAAGTGGGTGATACTATGAGATTGCACATGAAAGAACAGCTGAGGAAAATCTCATATCCAGAAACCTCTTTCACAACCGGTAAAAACCAAAGGTCCCCCGATAAAGGTGAAAATTACACAAGATGATAGTTTAACAAAGCGGACTCTATCTTACCATAAAGTTGTTGATTCACTATTTTGGATTCTCCAAAATCGCAAACAAGTATTTTCAAGGGAGCTCGCATTTCCAAACCACCTCGTACATCCCCTATCAAAAAACAACCACATACACCTTCGATTAAAAAACCACCACTTCCACATCTGATTATCTACATTGATGAGATGCCGCTTTTTATGCACACACATTGAAATAATTATAGATGTAGAGAGTGATGGTAATTGGGGGTTTTGTGTCGTGTCTAGTTTACTTGGTAAAGGAGAGGAGAATCACACTCTTGTGCGTCAAACACTTAATTCAGAATTGACGATGCACATGGAACTTTACACACGACTATATGTGAATAAGGAAGAATTCAATAAAGTTCACAGCACCCTTGTTCCAAGTGCTAGCATTCGCGCAGCAGTTGAAAAGTGGATAAGCTTCCTTGAAACGGGTCATCTTATAACAAGTGCATATGACAAGGTTTGTATCTATCTGACGAGATATGGTTTTTCGGGAAAAAAAATATCCCACTTCGGAGGCGACCACGTCAAGACCCTTCCGGCCGCATAATTTGTTTTGGGTACCTTAGATCACGTCATTTTGTCCAGGCTTATTTGAAATCGTAGTTTCCCATTCCATCTACATTAGTGCAGTGGACGGCACATTCCGTAAAAAAGGCGGAAACTTGGCCGAATATCTTTTTGGAAAGGGTGGCATAATTCACCCAATTGACGAAGCTAGAGAGAATCAAATAGGAAGAAGTCGAAGAAAGACCCGATTTTAGATTTAAGCGATGATAATTTGTTCGGTGTATTTTAAAATGTAATCGAACTATTTTTTGAATGTATTGATGTGCACAATATAAATTTTATATGATTCAATACATATATAACATATCTATTCAACATTTTACCGCTGTTTACTTTTATCGAATAAATTTTTTCCATGTTTCTATGGTATCGATTCTGCTAAAACAGATAACGTTACTGGTTCTGCATATTTCAGATGTTATCAAAATGTTAAAACATCCTCAGCTATCCGTTTTTAAGATTATGCAATGTTAAATTTCTGTTCAACTATCTAGGTAATTTTGACTATTTTTGTTAAATATATCTTAAGTTATTTTGGTTTTAAGGGTTTTGATTATGTACTGGTTCTGGTTCTGCGAATTTCGAAAATGTATATCCAAAAAAAAAACTTTGGTGTCTTCAGATATATATTTCCAAACTTATTTAATAAAGAAACAAAAATATAGTGAATTCGAATATGCACATTCAAATTTAAGGGATATTATGAGAATTTTGCCAAAAACCTCTAAAAAGTATGTATTAAGAAATTCCTTTGTAGTATTAGTGTTAGAACTAGTTTGACTATAAGATTAGAAGACAATTCTCCGTACAATATTTGATCAACATTGTGAGACATACAACCTCTTGATCATTCTCATTAGAATTATCATTTTAGCTCTTAAGAATTATAATTCCTTTGCCTTGGTGGATAAGTCATTTTCTATTTTTTTTTAGTTGCATACAACTACTAATACTTAACACAAACTATCTCCAAATTATTCCCCATTAGACGTATCAATTGTTGGACTTTCTTTAAATAATTAAAAAGATAATTTGAACTTTCTTTAAATGATTAAAAAGATAAATTTCTTTTAAAAATATGTGTATTCAATGCATTAATAACATAAATAATGAACTTTTTTTAAAGAATATTAGGTGTATTAAATGCATTGAACATTGAATATTTTCTTTATTTTAAATTTTTAACCGGTGCACCAAAGACACTAGTTAGCATGACTTTTTTTGGAAATTATGAAATTAATGTACTTATTTATAGGAAATTCAAATTGTCAAAGTTACATACATGTCTTTATCTAAAAAAGACTAACTTAAATGTCCTTAATCTTCTTAAATAAGCTTCTCGAGTAGTTATTTTACATTCAAACTTATCAACTTCTACAATTTTCGAATTTTGATCCTTCGAGGAGCATGTCTTTTTAGACCTTGGATGATTTCTCTTTGATTCAATCATTTCGAGACTAGAGCATTTTTCTTCCCTACTATATTTGAGTGTTTTTGCTCTTACTAACATAAATCTCAATCGAAAGCTTCTTTTTAAATTTTTAAATTTTGAGTATAACAAGTCTGCTCAAAATGTTATAACCGCATTTAAAGATAGATTATTAACCTTTTGACCTCTCTCAATAGTTTAACTTCAAAACATTTTTCATCTCTACTAACTCTAGCTAATAATAATATTCCCTATTTGGCCTTACTATTTTTCATCCCCTAAAGCCAAATCCCAACAGTTTTGGCATATCAAAATTACCTCAAATGACATCCTACCATCTTCTATAGTGGTTACTATTCTAATTTTCAATCTAGTTTTTACATTTCAAATCATACTATCCTGCATTCTATTCTGGGAAACATTAGTATAAGTGTAAATAATTTATTTCTACTTAGGAAAACAAAATTCATGTGTTTAAGGCTTATGGACATGTACCTCTAGTCTATTATTTTTCTTGACCCGCAACTAAAAATACAGTGACGTGATTTTTTATAGAGAATCCAAAATCAACACAAGTAATGCAACAATATTTGATGAAATAACAGTATAATGTATGTAAAAGTCTTAGTATTATGGGTGTACAATTATTGTTCCTATTATATAATCATATAAAATAAAAACATTCATTACAATTCAACTCGTTAGGGTTCAACTCAGTAACACCCATGCCTAAAAATTGTGTCCTAGCTGTTCTATCATGTGGCCCTCAACCAAATATCCGAGTATTTGTAGTTTTGAAACAAAAAAGAATGACAAAGATTAAAAAAATTGCATATATGCCACCACATCCTGAGTAGGAAACTCGGTCGCCATTTCTTCAAGTTGATGACATATATTTCGCAAAAGGAATTACGAGAAGTTTTTGAATAGTAGACGGACAGATGCTTCCCGAAAGCACAAATTGAATGCATAAAACTCAGTACAGTTCAATCAGTTGGCACAGTGCAAAGCAACCCATGTCCCGGATTATGCTCCAGAGGATACATGGCTGTGCTCTTCACATACCTCATAAGTGCTTCCTTTCGGAGGTTTGAAATTGCTTTTAAATTTCTTTTAGCTTGCTTCTTAATGATGGAACATGCACGCAATGGATCTTCAGATCCTGCTCCAACTCTCCTGTGAAAATCATAATGAATTGAGAAAGTCCAGCTAGATTCAGATGGAATTGGAGGATATAAAGAAAAAAAATGAGGGAAGCGGGAGTTATTTACCTCAGTAATTTCTCTGATGCAATTCTAGCAGCCCTTATGATACGGGGGCTTGGCACCCATTTTATCACACGGTTTGGATCAGCTCTCATGGGAGAATGGATTTTGATCAGCTTAACAATGAAGAAAGTAGAGAAGGTCAATGATTAGAAAAACAAGAAACGTGATTAAATTCATACTACTAGGCACTAAGTCAATGCATAATTATCAGCCAACAAAAAGGAACGCCTTTATTTTCCTTACGTGCCGAATGAAAGTCCTAAGTGTCACTTTAACATACGACCTCAAAAACTTTAAATCAACACGATGCTAAATTTAACTGTTTCTGAATGCTTTCTAGTAGCAGTAATGAGTATGGTTTACTTACTCCCAAGCATTCCATCATCTGGTAATAAGCTCTACCATGCAATGGCGTATGGCCTTGACGAGATTCAGAGAAATATCTTGTCCTGAAATAAATTTATAAGGCCTACAAATCAAGTAATCATATTTCAAAGTGGTTAATTAAACCGAAATACTAATTTCCAACAAATCATTTAATACCATTCCTTATAGCCAGGATCCACGGTGAAACCATACATATCCACTGACTCACACATGGAGAGAGCAAATTCAAGAGCCTTAAGCCCAGTTCCTTTTGCGGCTGAACCAAAGGAAGCACCTAGCATGAGATATACAGGATTTTTTATAGGAAGTTCCTGCAGAAGACAAAAGCCGATTGCTTTGCAAATGGAGATATAGAATGTGTAGCACGGCAACTAAAGGATCTTGGAAGATGATTTCCATTGATAAGGAAACATACCTTGATCATTTTGTTCATGATGTCATGAATGGTTGTTTTTACTATCAACACTTCTTTTCTTTCCTCTGCAGAAACAGCATTTATAGTAAGGCTCTAATAGTTCATAATGGCACTGTAACAACTGGAACTCATTATAACAATTAACAATACCATCTAATTCTACAACTTTATCAAGTGCTTTGGCAGATCCTCGATTTAGAAGACGAAAAGTGCTTTTCCTACCCACATAATCGGTATAGTTCTGCAGTTGTGATGTGATTAGAACTTATTGGGCAAGGTCTTAATTTTTTAGACAAAATTGAAAGAAAAGCAGAAAAACATTGTTGATCAACTAACCTGAACTGGAGCACCATTTTCTCTTAAGACGGCATCATAACCCTCTATCTCCTTTCCAAATTTTGTTTTCAAGAGATCACCCGAATTACCAATAACAGCACAGCGCCCGTACTGTCTAGGGAAGTAGGGTGGTGTTTCAGGGAGCACCAGTGAAAGTTTCTCCATGCACAAAGTCCTGTTCTGACAGCGGTTACTGCAACACAGAAAAATCATACTTGTGAGACTTTATACTAACTTCAATTTCCTTCTTAATAAGAACTCCGGACAGCTAATTCTAGGGATGGTTTGCTTCTCAACATCAAATCAAAAGAAGTCTTAGAGTAGACAAATTGACAGATTGTCCTAGTTCATGTCATATATCACATGCCTTACTTCAGGATGAAAAGCTCAATGTCGATATACTTCATATGAGGTTTTGAAATCCACATAACCTTTGTGGAAATTTAGAATCAACTATATAGAGTATATTAATAATATGCTCAGTATACTTCATTTATAATAAATGAATCAATCAAATGAATCAAAATGCAATTTAATTTGGTTTTATTCCCTATTGATCCTATAGGCTGTCATTATTTAATGATTACACAATTGTTTAGTAAAATCCAGATGCATATTTACTTACAGTTGTACTCCTTTATTGATCCTACGCCAAGCATACTCCTCCCACCCATTTGGTAAAGAATCAATGTATTCCTTGGTGAGTATAGTGGTGCTGTTCCGCACCTGAGCAATCATTAGACACAACAATAACATGTAAGGCAACAATCATAAATTCATTCTACAGCACTTTAAGAAGGGAAAAAGGAAAAACTCAAAAGAAAGGTGGCATCAATGCCAATAGTAAGAGGGTCATGGGCTCAACTCCCCCGCTAACAAAATTAACAACGAACATTTGTCATTTAAAAAAAGAGATGGTAAGGGTAATTTAACAGCCATGAGGTGCACTATAAAATCTGTAATTTGACAGTCAAGTAGCAGTATCTATCAAAATAGAATATCAAAAGCATGGGTTTTCTATCCCATGAAAGATATTATATATTTATGGGTATTCACAATCACAAATAACACAAACCAATTTACTTACCTGTTCCCATGTGGCCACAGCTTCACATAGATTAAAATCAAAAGATAGAGCTTCCAGTTCACCAGTTTTGGGATCTTTCTGTCAATACAGAAACCTCTCTGTCAGTCAACAATCACGGCAACTATGTACTGTTAAACCATTTGTGACTAAGTATATGTATATACATTACTATCCATACTTTTGAATATGAGGAAACTATTTTTCCCTGGATTCTAGGTTGTCATGGTTGACATATTTTTGACGACCATACATGCATTATTTTAATTTACTACATGAATAAAATCAGGTCAGCGAATGGATAGAAATATTTACCCATTTTGGTATGGTGTCACTGGGAAAACTTATTGTGGTTTGACAGTAATCATTGCCCCTAGCTGCTTTTAGACCAAGTCCATTCGCACTCTGCGCAAAACACAAAATTAGCAACGCAGTCAAGTCGTCCAAGTAATTCATTCATACTCAATACAAGATTGGAAGATTGATTGAAACTATAGGAAAACAAATCGGAGCCAAAATACTACAATAGAAACTCCAAAATAAATTCCACACTGCAATAAATTTTCTTAAACTACTATTAGTATTTCACAGCTCACTCGCTTAATCCTTTCAAGGAAAACACAGTAGCTTTAAACATTTAAAAATTACCTTCTGAGGTGTGATATTCACTTCAAGAGTTTTCCCTAACCATTACTAGATATCCATAATTCAATACAACAACAACAACAACAACCAAGCCTTATCCCATTAAGTGCGGTCGACTACATGGATCAACTTTCGCATAATGTTCTATCCAGAACCATGTTTCTATTCGAATCATTAATCTCGAGATCTTTCTTAATCAACAGGTCTTCTCTCTACGTGTCCAAACCACCTAAGTCTATATCCAGAATCAATATTGGTGAATTTAGTAAAGTATTAAACTATTTTAACAATCTACACAGATTTTACATCAAAATAACGTCGGAATCCAGTCAAAACCAAACCGAAATCCAGATTTACAATATCATCCCATAATACCACTCAAACAATCATAAATTCACATATCACCTAACCATACTAAAAAACCAAAAACACAAAAAGCAATACAAATCTGAGACAAATCCAACAACACAGAAGCGAAAAACTTACCACACACTTCTCGAAAGAGGTATGCAACGAAAGCAACGATTGAGCTTCTTCATCCGTGAGTTGATAACGGGTATCTGTCTCAAATGGTTACGTTACAATAAATCATTAGATTCAACCTTATCGAAAGAATCTCATATAATTTGAATAAGATTTTGAAAAACATTGTATACATACATACATACAGAAGAAGGATTAGAGAGTCCGGTGATGTAAATTGAAATGGCTGCAAATCCAGATGCCAATGCAAGCAATAAGCCCAATCGAAGAACCCTCATTGCACTTAGTTGCCAATTGAAGATACTTGATCAACTGCGAGATGTGAATTTTAGGGTTTATGAGACTTTCGAGATTGAATCTGGAGGTGAAAGCACTTGCTCTATCAAAGCAAAATCAATCTACTACACTCAACTTCTGATCTTTTTTTTTTTTGTTACATTCTTCTGTGTTCTCTTGTTGATCTGGAAATTTTAAGACAAATGCAAAAATGGTTTCTATCAAAAATGCAATAATAGAAAATTCTCATTGTCATAGAATCTATTATTAATATAATAAAGTATATATTATCAAAATTATTTTGATATTTTTTGAAAAATATGATGAGAGACTTAATTTCAAGGATAACATAGATAATTTGTAAGTGTAATAATGATAAATAAAAAAATAAAAAATAAAAAAATAATGATTAATAATAGCACAATTTAACATCGGGAGACTGACAATGATGAGCATAAATGTCTTTTCCATGCATATATGTTTCTTATATTATAGATTGTAGAAAATTAAAAACAAATCATTAAACAAATTAATTTGTGTTATTAGAAAGCTTTTATGAACACTTTTGATTTGAGACGAGAAAAATTTACCTGTGAAGAATTTTCAATTAATTTCCTAGATTTTGTCTTATTCGAGCTACGAATCCAGGTGTGGTTGTGTTGATTGATTGTTGTTTTTCTTGTGAAAATTGAAATCAAATCCGTAAAAACTTTGTAAACGAACATAGTTGAAACAGAGAGATGATTATTGAAACAAAACCGTAATAAGTGACTTACGAGAGATAAAGAGTTTGGATTCGAGTTTTAAGGTTATGCAAACGAAACCGGAACTGTGAAAACATGATAAGGAACAGTGAGAATAAAAGCAGGATTATTGTTGTTTGTTTTCATGAGATTTGGAAAGAGCAGAGAGTGAGAGAGCGAGTTTGAGAACAAGGAGAGAAAGGTGAAAAGAAAAACAGAGATGAGAAGGAATCGACGGTGAACAGAGAGATGAAAATAAATGGAAGTGTGGCAGGTAGAGAGAGGTATCGTGTGCTTTATTCTACATATCTTGCTTTTAATTCGTCATTCTATAATTGATTTAATGTTTTTTCTCTTTACTCTTTTTCTTCTTTAATAATTAGGGTTTCCGATGGACCTTACAACATCTTTAGTTTCATTATTTGTTTTTATTTAAATTTTATTTTTTCTGTTTTTTATTCTCATTATTATTCTATTAGAGAATATCTTAAACATCTTAAACTACTAAAAGATACATTTTTGACGGGTCAATACTATTTAATTTGTATATCTTTTATATATATTTTTTAACCATCATTATATTATATTTATTTGCTATTTATAAGCACAACCACGCAAACACACGGCTAAATAATCAATTTTATATATGTGTGTGAAGTGTACTAAATCATATACTCATATTTTTCAACATAATTTCTATGTATATTTTGACAACTACAAATTAAATTAAAATTTATGTATTAATCATCGTTTAAAGTTTTTTTTCTCTCTTAATTCATATATATTTTTATATACATTTTTTAACTATAACTATATAATCTTTATTTAATATTTATATCGTCTTTACACAACCCGTACGAATGCACATGTTCTTTACTAATAATATTTTAAAAGTTATGTTGGATTCAATTTTTGTTTAAAAAAAAATATTTATTTATTTTTGGTAAGAAAAGGGCCTAATAGTCACAAAAGAAAAAACAAAAGAAAGTTAACCAATCTAGAGAATGAGAAACAGATGTTCTAATTTTAAAATTCAGTGATAAGTAAAGGTTCATTTTGCTCTCTCAAAAAAATTACACAATTTAAATTAATCTCTCATAAAAATAAAATTATATTTAATGTCTTATGAAATTTAATCGGATTATATTAGTTCTTCTGTCAATTTTTTTCTTAAATCGATTTTTTTTAACTTTTAAATCGTGATTGAACTAACAAATTAGATTTTATTTTTTTATTTTTTATATACTAAAATGATTTTTATTTTTATTTTTATTTTTAAACAATTCTAAATTAATGATATCAAAAAATTCTAAAAATGAATCGAACTAAGAATTTTTAAATCGTGTTTTATGTCTTTACCACTATGTCAATGTATATTCCTGACATATGACTCTAATTATTTATAGTAATATTAAATGATTTTGAATTTAAAACAAAAAATATAAAATTTCTACACATGGAATCACGAACCCAACTCCCTTCAAATTAAATGATAATCACTTAACAACTAGACTAATTCTTGTTATTATTTTTAATGATGAATACTTAACTTAATAATTGAGAATAAATATTTACTTGTTTATTTATTTTAAATAACACACAAAGAAAAAATTTATTTAATTCAAATAATACACAAATTTAAAAATAAAACTAATAAAATACAAATCCTCAATATAGTTAACCAAATAGAATTAAATTAAATATATTTAATTGAAATTAAATAACACACAAATAATATTTACTTATTTCAAATTAATACAAACTAAATAATTAATAACTAATTTACCAATGATTCAATTAATTGTTAAAATATTTAATTAATTTTTAAAATTATTTAATTAACTCAAACTAAAAAATAGTAATTAATTAATTTAATATTATTTTAGTTAAATATTAATTAACTTATTTCTATTTGATTAATTGTATTTAGGATTTATATTTTATTAATTTTATTTTTAAATTGTGTATTATTTGAAATTAGTAAATTCATTGGTGTGTTATTTGAAATAAGTAAAAATTTGTTCAAAATTATTAAGTTAAGTATTCATCATTAAAAATATTAACAATAGAAATTGATTTTTATAGTTGGAAAATAAATATCATTTAACTTGAACGAACTTAAATTTTGTATTTTTTATTTTAAATTCAAAATTATTTAATATTTCTAGAAATCATAGAAATTATTTGCATGAACACACATTGACTTAGTGTTAAAGACATAAAATGCGATTTATAAGTCATGGGTTCAATTCCTTATAAGAAATAAGTTTTTTTATATATTATTAATTCAGAAATAAGTTTTGATTTTTTTTATATTACTAATTCAAAATTGTTTAAAAATTAAATTAAAAATAAAAATAAATTTAGTATTTAAAAATAATAATAAATAAAATCTAACTTGATAGCCCAACCACGGTTTAAAAGTAAGAATAAAAACCGGTTAAGAAAAATATTAACAAAGGACTAATATGGTCTGGTTAAATTTTGTAAGAGATTAAATTGAATCCTTTTTTTTTTGTGATGGACTAATTTGGATTGTGTAAGTTTTGTGAGCGATTAAAATGGGTCTTCACTCTTTAAGTAAAGATTTTAGTTGGTCTTCACTTTGAATTAGATTATTTTTACTATATTTATAGACGTTTCCACCTAGACTTATTGTTCTAAATGGGCAAAAGAGATCCAAGTGAAGCAACTACAAGTGTCGATCAATAGAAATTATATTTTTAGATTTAAAAGAGGTCTTAGTTATTTCCATTTTTGGCACACAATCGTTGGATTAACGGACTTACTAACGTTGCCAACCCCTAGAATCTTTCTCTTATTATTATCTCTATAGGAGACATATATCCTCCTTCTTTATGATGGAAGATAAGGAATAAAGTTTTGTCATCTGTCATATAGTTTAAACAATCACTACCAAGATATTATTTGATGTTTGAGAATGTAAATCATTCTTGCAAAGAAAACGTTAGTTCTTAAGAGGGTGTCCCAAAAGATTTTGAGACCCCATTCTATTTTTAAAATTGAGCCTCTATTAAAGAAAAGCACAATAAATTTAAAAAAATGTATTTTTCATTTTAGTTATATTTAACATAAAAAATATTAAAATTAATTAAATTATTTGAAATTATTTAGATGAAATTTTGAAGCATTATAGTATTATTTTTGCATTTTTTATATTCTTAAAATTCTTTTATTTACAAAAATAAATAAATATAGTTTATATTTATAAAAAAATCAATATAACAAAGTATTTCAATTAATAAATCAAAAATATCGAATTATAAAATATTAAATTATAATATAATTTTTACCGATCTCACAATGTTAAATTTATTAATATGTGTCTATTTACATGAATAAAAAAATATAAATATTTTCAAATTTCTATTTTAACAATATATTCATACAATTATAAGACCCTTAAAATATAATATTTTAAACTAAAATTTTGGTTGCATTTGCATAATATACACAATAATACTTACTCGTATGTGTACAATTATTTTTTTAAAGTACAAAACATATACTAATATATATCTTTTAAAGAATACTCATAGTTTTTAAATAAAGACCATATATTGATAAAGAAAATAGATATACAAAAATGGGGGATTAGGTCAAAATTCAATTAAAAGTAAGAAAATCTATTAAAAAAAAAGGTTGACTAGCCTTTTTTTTACAAAAACTACCCTTGTGTCCAAGGGGATGGCATAAAAAATGGTTAGTGAGGAGTGTTTAGGTCAAGGTTAGCAAAAAAGATGGTACAATTATTCCCTTTATAGTGGGTTAGCAGAAAAGACATGTGAGTAGTAATAACCATACAAGAATTTCACAGTTTTCGAAGTTGCCATGGGACAATGAAAGAAGTTGCTGGAATAATTTATTTTAACTTATTTCTTTCTTTTGTTAGTTTCTTACAAATTTTAAAAAGACCATGATAGGAGAATTAAGAGGTTGACCATAAGATAGATGTTGACTTTTTCTTTTTCATTATCGTTTAAGGCTTCCATATCATTGTCTTCCTATGCCACATAAGCTTTCTTCTCTCTCTTTTTTTAGTTTTTCTAAATCTTTATTAGCCTTTTTTAATAGGGGACAATATGGTTTGATGTGCCTTTTCTTTCTGCAATTGTAGCATGCTAGAACAAATGGTGTTTTCTTCTCATATTTTTCTGGTTCTTCCTTTTGCTTTTTTTCATTATTCATGAATCTCTTGAAGTTCTTTACTATGAGAGCCAAGTTACCATCAAAGTCCA